GACATACATGCTACAAAATTAACAGTTCCCGTATACTTCCCCGCCTTCAGGATGGGGAAGAATAACCTCATGGTTAAAGCGTTCGCTCGTCACACCGAAGACCCGGGTTCGATTCCCCAAATGGATGCAATGTGTAGTGAAATCCCATATTTTCGGAAGGTACCGTTCTCGGTGAAATTGTTTGGATTAATGTGTATCCAGAAAAAAAACAACATTAATTAGTACCGGGTATATATTTGGTGTTTACATCGACGTAATCGTCAAGGAGGAGGGCTTTTCCTGAAAAAAACGAGATGTACAAGGATTGTTGAACTTTCAACAATAAAATTGTATCCTTTATATCGAGCACTGATTGCAGATATTGCATATTTCGTGCTGAACTCGAACGAAAGCGTGCTCGTAATATGCTTGAATTTGCATGTTGCTGCCAGAAACACGTAAGTTATCATGAATAGAATGATGCATTTCGAAATATGTGTATCCGAAATGTATTCGTTCATAAATTTAAGCATCATATACCGCCTATCTAACACTGTGATAGTATATTCAGTGATAGAATTAATGTATCGTAAATCAACTGCATAATATGCACTCTCTTCCATGATTTCTTTTAACTTTCGCTCCATCACGAGTGACTTGCCCTCAAAATTTATACATGACATCGGGCATTGTTTTTCATCCCAAAATAAAATGATGTAAACAGATACGAAAATGTTTAATAACTCACGTGTCAACCATAATATTTGGCAAAATATATGATTCAGAAGGGGCGATGGATAAAACCTTACTTTTCCTTAAAAATAAATTTCTCAACCTAATGACAGTGTACCTTGCAAGACAAAGTAAAATGTCTGCTTTATGCAGACATTTGTCATGAATGTGGAAAGGGTTTTTACTTTCGCTTTTACTTTCAGGAGACCAATTGACTTGCCTTTACATGAGTTTGTGACGGTTACAACCGATGGGCCAGGAACACCTGGTATCAAAACTATTTGATAGTGATGGCAAAATGGTGATGAAAAAATGGTATGAAGGAATTACTAAAAAACAGTGATGACACCAGGTGTTCGCGAAAACGGAAACAATGTCCAGCTCTAACGATAGCACCAACCACTCACACACTTTTCATGAATTAATAGTCAGGAGGTATAAAAACTCCCAGTAAAGTTCATTGTACACGACAGCATCCCGTATCGCATACAATTGACAAATGTCACATTCGAATGCAAATCTACCATAAAAGTTCTGGAATAATGGCGAAACCTTGAACACATGTACACTTACCTCAGAGTTAATGAACCCTAAGTGAACCTAATTCGCGATTACCAGCGTTGTAGCAAACTGAGTCATTATCAACCAAAATGGCATAAACGTAAATGAACCGATCCCTGCGAACCTTGGCCAAAAACAAACCAAGAGTAAGACCCTAAAAAACATCCTTAAGAAGCCCACTCGAAACCAAATGAATTACGTGATAACAAATTGTGAGTCATTGCAGTAGAATCCTAATATACCGAGAACTTTTTCGTAGTGAATCGAGCCGGAACGAACCGCATTGTGGTGAATCAATATCTAATGAATCTAGGTTTTATTTATTCATAATTCACATAAATGTAACTAACTCATCCTCATTAGTCTTATACACCAGGAGAGCCTCTGTGGTTTACAACATATGAGTCATCAACATTTTCGTCGTCACCATCGCTGATACAATCCTGCTATGGGTACCATGAAGGTAGCAGAAGTACCGTACGTTCCCTTGGTCTCAACTTGGGTTGCTGGTGATATATAGCCCGTTTTATGTCTTATGTATAGTGATATCTTTTTATGGTAACACGTTGCCATAAAAGATATATCTTTTGTCGACAGGTTTTATATGGTCTTATTTATCTATCATTAATGTAAAGCGGTCGGGTAGCCTAGTGGTAAAAGCGTTCGCTCGTCACGCCGAAGACCCGGGTTGAAGCCCATTTCTGGTGTCCGCGATATTGCTGGAATATTGCTAAAAACGGCGTAAAACCATACTCACTCACTCACTATCATTAATGTACAACATCTTTTAGTCACGATGCTGAAATACTGCCGATGTGACAATGAATCTTCACTCACTCACTCACCTCTGGAACATTATCCTCAGCGAGTCATCAGTTTGGCAATTGAGAAAATTGTATTCTCTTGAATATTGTGATACACAAAACGTTCAAATGTAGCAACACACATTACAAACAAGACACAGTACCCATAAAACTCGCAACCTTTCAATGAAGTCGATTGCTTGTCGACCATAAATCATCGTATCCAGAGAATCCGTCAACCCAGCCATGGGTTGGGAGTGGGGCGTGTTTTCCCCTTACATAGATGCATGACGCTAAAATGTTCACTGTTGTTTTCTTGTAAAGACAAGACACTGTAGTTGTGACAACATGGCAGTATGATTTAGGGTATCACGAATCAGCTCCGAAAACGCTTTAATTGCAAATACAGTGTTTGCTGTGACACCCTCGGTATCAGGATATATATTGCGGTTTGAAGGAAAATCAAAATAATCACAAATACAATTAGACTTGGCAGAGAGTTATATTGGGATACAATATGTTTTGCTGATATCAGTTTAATCATATAACACTAACCATTAACACTATAAACTACCCTTGAACATAAGAGCAACTATTAAGTATATGTCGTGATTCAGATTTTTTTATGTTTGCTTCAAAGAGGATCTCCCACAAATTGACGTTTGATCAAACGTATCAGTACAATGTACAAGTCAAAAGTGCCTTGGCACGTGCATCGGAATGTGTTTTAAAGTAGCGGAAAATCCTACTGAACCTACATGAACCTACACGTTTTCAAGAGTTTTATTACACAATACATTATAAATAAAACATATGTCAGAGAGCCAAATGCACAGTTTTATTTGTCGGGTGGACTTCAGATATAACAGTTGCCACAGTTCGAAGCCACATGCAAGGTGAGATAATGCGATTATCACATGCAAATGATATGTATAGAAATGACGACAACGAAAAACGTAAACAAACAGATAATTTAAATTACGAGAGACTAAAACAGTCCCCAATACACATTTTGTTAATAGCCAAAGGCTACGACATCGATGTTGTGGCTTCCCTATGGTTTAGAATTAGAATCTACAGGACCTTGAAACGTTATTAAATAAATTCGTCCAAGAAATTTAGAATGATTTAATTCATGGCTGGTGAGGATTGAAAATGGCTATTTGTGGTTAAATAGAAATTCCAAATCTAAAATTTGTGGAAACTTAAGAAATAAACTTGTCTCTCTTTAAAACAATCTCCTATTCATATTAGAAATACTAGTATTATGTTTGCATGCAGTCCACACATATGAGTAAGATTCGAGGTAGTAGTCAGTTTTAGAGGATTTAAGAGAATATTGTGAAACATCTTTATAATTATGTTGTAGTTCTGCATGTGGAAACCTTAACTAACTTTCTTGTGTGATGTGTGTTATATGTGTGATGTGTGTTATGTGTGTGATGTGTGTTATATGTGTGATGTGTGTTATGTGTGTTATATGTGCTACAATAAACGATGTCTATACGCTGTGCTGATGGCAGTGATAAGAAACACGGGAACAGAGCAAGAACTAAAAACATCGGCACGTCTGCTTGTTCAGCAAAAATGAGACCTCTATGGTCTGTCAACATATACACCATTTCTTCCATCCTAGAAACCAGACTGATAAGGAGACCTAGATCTCCATCTGGACCGACATGTTCTGGTATTTGACATAATCCAACTTAATCAATAAAGTAGGAACGTTTCAACACATTTAATACGATTTAGGGAACGTCGCGATGGCATAGTTTCGTGCAAGAATCTAAAGAATTTAAAACAGTTTTAAACATTCTTTCTTGTCCATTGCCTACGCCTTTGACATACATACCTGTCCGATAACGAAAATATGCAACAACGATTGTTGGCAAGAATTCCTTTCAGATAAAGAAAATATGCTGACATGCCTTTTGAATACATCTGCAGTGTTTCGCAAGGGAAAACGTCAAAACATACGTTTGCTCACACAAAAATGAGAGAATTAAGTATGCATGCCGACCAGGTCCTCCACTGAGCCTTCAAACAATGGTGATGTGTTTGTTGTTCAAAAGTCTAGCTATATGCCAGCGACAAATGTTCATCAATGGACTATGCCACCGTAGTACAATAAGAGACATTAATCCTGCCTACTCGGTCTATTTAGTTGCCTCAAAGTTGGAGGGGGAAATACTGTAACCTAGAAACACCACTGGCCAGGACAGATAGGAGGGAAGCAGGGTTAAACATGATATCCTACACGTTGCCTGAAGGAGACTACATGGAGTGGAGAGTAATTGGTAATCTAGAGAGTGAATGCGTATGCAGTGTTAGAAAATATAGCAGGCCATTGAGGAGTTCTTTCCATGATATTGTCATTCAGGAACCTGTCTTGATCGTTGCTTATGATCATTCGTCTTGAATTCCTTAATATGTTCATGAGTCTCTAATATAACCTGGAATACAAAGGGACCCCTTAATATATGACACATGATGGCAAAGCCTCTGTGAACAGCCAACACAATGTTTGGGTTTTGAGGATGTAAACTCTTCAGGATTCTTCTCTCAGCTTAACAGGCCAGGTCCGTGCACAAAGTATATTGTTCAAAAGGGTTCTATCTGTAACCTGTTACTTTCAGCATTGTTACATACTATTTCAGCCAAATGAACTTCAATCCACATATTGTTACAAACTATTCAACCAACATTGTTAAAGTTTAATTGATAAAAATAAATCGAAGATCAACACCATCCCGGGCTCCAGGCGTTCCCAAAGTTTTTAGGGTTAGATGCAGGATCACCATCAGGGAAAAGGGCGGGGATCATCTGCTTCCGGTACTCATCAATCCGGGCTCTCAGTTTGTCAACAATGTCCGGCATCTGTGCTGCCAGGTCGTTATGCTCAGTGGGATCCTCTGTAGGTAGAGAAGGAAATATTTATAAAGTGACGTTCTTGTGTATATGCAGAGATGGCGTGTATATTGATGGGGACATGTTTTTGGATAAAACTTTTCTTATGCCTATCAATGTAAAGCAGGGTGACTCTTCCTTAAAATTGTACAAATTGTTAGAAAATAAATTCCATACATTAGTACATAAATATTTCTGTTCTTCACCCGCGTATGTTGTACAGCTGCACTGGGCTATCGCCCTTATAATATATGGTGGTCTCATATTTATCCCCCGTGTAGTGTTCCTAGGCTTGTGCCAGCCATCAGTTCCCCTGGGTAGCCCAGTATCAGCTTGTAGTCACCAACCCTGTAAACAAAAGATAACCACACAGGATCACTTCCTGCTCCCTCTGTTGTTAATAATATTTATTGTGCCAATATCATGACATGCTGGAAAACATTTTGTAATGAATTTCCATGGTTAAGGTCCAGCTTTTGAAGATTTCGCAATTGATTGGTATAGTGAAATACTTCTCTCAAAAGAACGTTCCATGTGGTGATAAATAATGGGCTAAAGACAGATGTCCCCAAAACGTTCTGTAACCTAATATTTAAAGTATTTACCTTATTGCAGCATGTCCTTCCAATGCAGGTTCAAAGTCGTCAATATTGTATATGAACTCGGTTCTTGACGACGGAAGGCCATTCCTGATAGATTCCCAGTGGGTTGTACCATCGATTGACGCCTCTACAACAGCAATAGATTTTGTTGAGATTATTTTCTTCTGGTTTAAAAGTATACAGATTACATGTTTAGTCCTTTCAAATTTATGTCATCGTCTGACAAAGTTCACATTTTTTCAGCTTTTCTTCGAGATCTTTAATAAACATTTCCAAAGGGGAAAAAAACTAATTTTATGTATATGCACAGACAGTTAACTCATGAATGTATAACTGAGCGAGGCGTATTAACATTGCTGAAAGAAATCACTCTGGAATAATATGTGTTGGCAAATGACAGGGTTACTTAAATTAAAGCGACAGAACCCTTTCCATATTTCAAAAATATCTCTGCCAAAAGCATAGTCGATTTTATAGTTCCGACCATTTTGTGAGCATGCGTCCATGAATCACCATGAAAGTGACAATACCAGGTGTTCGTGAAAAGGTGGCACCCGTCACAAACGCATGCAAACGCAAGTCATACTCGTAGATATATGCTGGGATTAATACGACTTCAAGATCATTCGGTTATTGTTGACGTCTCTGTGATAAGTGTACACATGCATTCCTGCGAGAGATAGGTCCCCTTGAAGATCAGGGTTAGAATTGATCTGCAGCAACCAATTCTTGGATATGCATACATACAGATCCCAATTGCGTACATTGATTCTCGTGATGTCAGTCACTGGATTGCTTGGTCCAGGCTCGATTATTTACAGACTGCAATAATATAGCTGTCATATCGCGGCGTTACAACAAACAAACGATTCTAAGCAGGAAGTCCTTATTGCCAGGAGTGCCACCAGCTGCTGACACCAAGGTGGGATTCCAGTCTACAGCATGAATCATTCTGTAATGACATGGGTTTTTAATTACTCGTAAGAGGTGGAGATCTTCAGAGCCGTTAAGTGCAAATCGTATGGTATAAACAACTTTCCAGATTTGATAGATCGTAACGTCGTCAATGCAAATATCGGATTCAAAACTTTGAAAGTGGTGCGTATATAATGTTTATTTGCATTTAAGTCTTGTCTATCAATTTGGAAAACTGAAACGAAAACATTGCGGAGTCTCATACAGAGGCTTCATATATGGTCATGTTGGAGGTAATTTCCTCCCTTGATTGCACAACAAGCCCACCCCTCCGTTTAGTTTGCACGCCAGAGAGCAACCTCCGTTTACCACGCCATTTGAATTGAAAAAGACATTATTTTACAATGTTAAACAGTATATAATTCACGTTAAATCAAGGTTGCATGGCACACCCAAACCAGCTATACTCTTCACAAACATGGAATCCGACCCTTGAAGATTCCGTGTTAGAATATAGGTCTTCAGCAACCCATACTTGTCGTAAGAGGCGACCAACGGGGTGGGGTGATCTGGCTCGCTGACTTGGTTGATGTCATCGTATCCCAATTGTTTAGATCGATGCTATGCCTCCTCGTCAACGTTTTGAAGATTCGTTTGGGTTGTTCCCAATACAGACCTTAGAATACGTACCTTTATTTAAGGGCAACAGCGCTAAATTTACATTTTGAGACTGTTTTCTTGGCCATCGTAATTTACATCTTACTGGCTTTACAATCTATCATTATTTGTCATGAGACTTGCACTATAACCCAACATCTTAAGCCTAGAGGAACATTAATCGCCCCTCCATCTCCTTTAAAACAATATCATTCTTCTCATATGTGTCCAACATTAAATTGATTGTCTCAAACCCATTATAGGTTGTCTTGGTTTTCTTCAGCCCGGTGCCATACATGAAGGATGTCCCCCTCGTGCCTCCCTCCCAGATTGTGTGCTTCCCCCCTCTCAGGGGCCAGTTGTTGGCATTATTTCCAAGAGGACCGCCATTCTGGAGAGATTCAGTATACCTCACTAAATGTTCCACAGTGTAGAGAAGTGTAATAGATCTCGAAAATTATTCTGCACAATCAATAACATAAAAACACGGCCGTTCGGGTATTTGTATGATTACCGATGATTGACTATGTACTCATACACGGCCTAGTTCATTCATTTTCCTTTCTCATGGGTCTATACCGTATATGCATTTTAAGTATTTTGGTTGTTGAATCGAGAAGACGACTGTTCTTACATCAGTTGTAAACAGAATGAGTGTGTTTTCAAACAACCCCTTCTCCTTAAGTGCCTTTGTGACGTTCCCAACTGCTTCACATATTTCCTAAAAAGAGACCATATCAGCATCAATTCTTAATGTAATCATGGCAGTATTTCGTTATAGGAGAATAGGTCCGCCTGTATTGTGATGGGTGTATCATGCATTGATATGTCTGGTACCTTTTGCAGTTATTTCTACCGAAAGACAAACATTATAATTATTTGAAGTTGTTTTATCTGGATACATTTCAAAGAAAACGATCTAAATTTATGGAACTAATTCCTTCAGCCATGATATCACAACATGCACTCCAGAACACAACAATACCTCTCAGACTGTTTATCTAATCCCGGAATGTCCCTGTTTGCATCCACTCAGAAGTGGCATGCTTTTTGTATGTGATCTAGTATGAGGCCTATCACTAAGAAAAAACCCACTTTGTATGAACAAATTCTTGTGTACAAATAGCATATTTCAAACAGACCAAAAGACTCTGACGTAACATGCCCGTTTTTTCTGGAATTGAAACTTGGTAATAGACTATTTTACCTCAATAGGAGCATGTACATTCTGATAGGGTAGGTACATAAACGGGGGCTGGGAGACTTCGTGTTGGTTGATGATGTAAACAGCTTTCTGAGCGAATGTATACTGAAACAGAGAGTCAGAATGCGTACATCAGATACTCTCGCTCTCAGCACCTCCTGTCCAAAGTCCGGCAACACAATATATTGGATATTTATAAAACGTCAATGCCAGAGAATAAAAAAAACAGATTCCATGAACAGGAATGTATAGTTTATAGCTCATATTGATTACGCCAGGCTAACGCCACGTCAAGCCAACATCCATACAATCAGAAAGCCAATATCGTACGCTACAAAAACTGTATTATAGTGCGCTTGCGGGACATACTTGCCGACCATATGGGTGGCGTATCCGAGTTTCTTCAACTCTTGTGGCAGGAAGGTGTAGTTGAGAGGCACACATGAGGCCTGACTATCGATCAGAACTGCGTGCTGCGATGTAAATTGTGTATGTAAGACCCCGGGGGATCATAACAGACAAGACGACATTCCACATCATATAAATTACACTGTTGGCTTAGAGGGATTGTTCAATACCGCCGGGACACATTCGATAACATTTAAACAGATTCACAGCTTCAGCATCGTATATGTTAAATACGTTATGCTCAGCTTATATGTTTTAGAAGGAAAAAGGAGACCGTGTATTTTACCTACCTGCATGCCCACCTTGAATGGAAACATTCCACTCATGAAGGCTGTGCGAGACCTGTAAATCATTATTGGAGATTGAGGAGGACGAGGCTGTATCTAACATTGCACAGACTAACACCGTCGATCGTGGACATGCTCTCAACAATTTCATCTCTAAACATCCTTCTTTTATAATAGTTGTAATTTTCAAGATTGAGAGTCCAAGGTAGACCATTCTACAAATACATTTTGATAATTTATATGTTATATTCATGCATTAACATTTGATGTTGTCATGACATAAAGGCAGAACATGCAAAGTCTGGATACGATTGTATTATGTACCAGTTTGAGTGATATTAAAATACAAATGATATTTACGGGCTGCAATAAGGCTGGACATAGGCGTTCTCAAAGATGATCCCCTCTGTAGCCAGTTTGTCAATGTTCGGAGTCTTCATGTTTGCGTTTCGGAAACCAACATCGTTCCATCCTTATTGTAATCGAAGGTGACATGATATGACTTAGATGATATACATTATTGAAGTGTACAATGGAATAGATTTAACAGGATCTTTTTCTCTACAGGTTAATTAGTACACTTCGATAAAAATGTGCTTACCATAAACAAACTGTTTATAGAATACCACACTGAAAATAAGACTTCATATATATATGAACAGTGTAAACGTAAACCAACTATAACAACGAAAATCATCTACCATGTGAATCTATAACAATGTGTCAAATATCTCCTCATTCGATTCATTGGCTTAAAAAACCCTGTGTTCACACTTATTAGGCATTCGTTTATTGTATGAATATATAATATACTAGAAGAAAGCATACTTTGGTTTTTAATGCGAATATTATTCGGATAATCATTCCTCGAGATAAGTACTGAATTAATCAAACGAGACAATATTTCATATTTGTGGGTGTGTTAACAGCACGAGACTGATACATAATACTGTCAGGCATAAACGATTCTCGTCATCGTCAATTTAATACCTGCTGATGCATATATATCTGTTAAAATAGATATATCATATAACCTTATATAATGAACTGATTATCTGTCATCAGAATTAGAACCATTAAAAGTACATGGACACTTTATCTGTGAACAAACTACACTCACCTAAATCATCTGCAACTATGAAGACAATGTTGGGGCGTTTCAGGACATAAGAAACGACAGGAACAGAAGCATGTACTTCTTCCCCATTACAATGGTGATATAAATGTGGTTACACCACCGAGGCAGTTGTCTTATCTGTCAGGTGGCCTTCGCTCGCTTATCGGGTAGATAAATATTTAGGTATGTGAAATGTGGACATTAAAGTGGTGGGTAGGAAAGTCGTTCAACACGTGTAAACAAAAACATGAGTTAGATTTCAATTGGCTCAGGAAGGTACTTTCGGGAAAAAATCAATCACATGTCATTCTGGGTCCACTTTCAGCAAGCGATCACAGGTCCGAGTATGTGAAAATGTTTATATTTAAGATATCTATATCGTTGGTTCTTTCATATTTAAAGATCGTAACACAGCTCGTTACAACACGACTTGTTTATTCAAGCTCAAGACTCAACCCCCGTTTCTACAATCGCCGTTACATCCTCACAACCTTTCCAGATATCCTAGCAACAGTTACTTACCATTATTAGAATTTCCCCAGACTGGAACTGTTTACATTCGTTATCACTTTCGGTATCAAGAGTTATAGCCCTTTGACTGTAAATGCTTGTCGCTAACACTCATCCCTACCTAGATCTATCAGTATTTAATTCATATCAAGACACCGTAAAGGTGACTATGCTTGTTGTAAAAGGCGACTAAGGGGATCAGGTGGTCAGGCTCGCTGACTTGGTTGATGCATGTCATCGATCCCAATTGCGTGGGTCGATGCTCATGATATTAATCACTGGATTGTCTGGTCCAGATTCGATTATTTACAGACCGCCGTCACATAGCTGGAATATTGCTGGGTGCGACGTTAAACAACGAACCAACCAACCTACCATGTAACGTTTGACTGTTACTTAAGTACAAGATAGTTAAGAACAAAGTCTATATTTACAACAACTGATTGCAACATTATTTACAAATGCTCAATTTCTGTACAATCCTGATTCAAGGCAATCAAGTTAAAGTTCAAAATCTTGTTGCCAAGCTGGAGCCTGTCTGTGTCTGCGGGAATATCTTATGCGCTGCTGTGCCCCATGAGCAGCTAAAAACACTGTTAAAGTCATCGATGTCAATCGGCAACCCAATCTGTTCACTTCTTGCCTCTCTGCAGGTCACCTCAAGCGAAACATTTCACCAGGATCTCCCGCATTTGTTGACTGTCCCTCTGTAACCTCTGTGTCCTGCGGGGCGGTCGGGTAGCCTAGTGGTGAAAGCGTTCGCTCGTCACGCTGAAGACCCGGGTTCGATTCCCGACATGGGTACAATGTGTGAAGCCCATTTCTGGTGTCCTCCGCCGTGATATTGCTGGAATATTGCTAAAAGCGGCGTAAAACCATACTCACTCACTCACTCTGTGTCCTGCAGGTGCATAGGTCTAGCAACATGTCTCTTTAGAATTCTGTGATTCTCCACCCGAGTGCGCCCTGATCCACCAAGAGGCACACTTGTGTATGTTGTCTCTGTCACCGTGGATGAATTTTACCCATGTCATGATCCAGTGTTGCTGTGTTCCCCGACTTTATTTCCGATACTGCTCGGTAAACTCCGGCGGCCGATATTGTACAGTGTGTGATCATTTGGTGTTAGAGAATTGGTCGCCCAACAACGGTGGTCTCATATATATCCCTCTGTGACATTTTCGTATGCTTGTGCCAGCCATAAGCTTCTCCTGGGTAGCCCATTTACAGCTTCTACTCTCGTAAATATTATCGCCCAATATTACTTCTTATAAATCAACTGTACACTCTGATAACTATTGTTCATAATCGTCGTTTGTATTGTTCAATATCAAGAATTTTGGCAAACGTTTCATTCTTCTTCAATTCTCTGTACCATGTGTTCACATACACTCGGCTACAGACAGTTTCAGTTCTACTTTCTCCAGCATGTACAGCATGTACTTCAGTGACAGGTCTGATATGCCATCAAGATGGTATATTACCCAGCACTTAACGACGGAAAGCAGTCCCATGGCCACTGGCTTATACTATCGAGTGACCTCTCTCCAACAATACTTTTAATATCTGGTATCATCAATGGGTGTTGTAGCTTTGATTTGCCAAGGGGTACTTGACACACTTGTTAAATGGGTCAAAATGCCGGCCCACCATTCGTGCACAACTTGGGTCGGTTTTAACTTTTTAAAACTACTACTACTACTACTACTACTACTACTACTACTACTACTACTACTACTACTACTACTACTACTAATAATAATAATAATTTTGACATAGAGGTCCATACATGGTACGACCCAGAATTTGTAGAGGGCGTCATGGAAAATGATAAACACAAAATTCTTTAAAATAGGCCCGTATACAGCCTCAGACGTATCCAGGCCAACAAACCTGATCTTGTACTTTTTAATAAATCCAATGAAATCATTTATATCATTGAATTTTCTGTCCCTTTTGACAGTAATGTGATTGACAAGATTGAGGAAAAACATGGCAAATATGCAGACCTCGCTTTCGAAATGTCACGCTTGTATCCCAGTTCAAGTTGTCCGACTCCCTTTTGGTACCTCCCAATCTGTTGACTGACATTGGGAGAGTACCCGGGTTTGCAGCCCTTCTGACAATCTGGGTAACCCAGAAGGATGTAGTTTTGGGGAGTCTTCACATTCTCCGAAAAGGTTTTCCGGTGTGTTCGACTAGGCAGCGCTTCCTGGGAGAAGTCCCATTCGCTGTCTGGGCTGCGTGTAGAGGGGGCAAGGGCCCTGAGCTGATGAAGAGCCTAACAAGCCTGACAGGGCAAGGATCACCCAAACCCTTTTCGCTGCATTTAGTTATTTTAATGCATTATAAATTATTTAACTCGAGGACGTCTTATCCCGCAGAAATATTTGCATAAAATACTAATAAAGTATGTTTTCTTCCAGTAAATATAGTCATACAATAAGCGAATACCAAAGTGCGAACACAAGGTTTTGAGCACATGAATGGAATGAGTGAGTATGGTTTTACGCCGCTTTTAGCAATGTTCCAGCAATATCACGGCGGGGGACACCAGAAATGGGTTTCACACATTGTGCCCATGTGGGGAATCGAACCCGGGTCTTTAGCGTGACGAGCGAACGCTTTTACCACTAGTCTACCTCACCGCCCCTAATGAGGAGCTACTGAACACTTAGTTTCAGATTCCCATGGGACATGATTTCCATTGTTATATTTGTTTTACGTTTTTGTTTTTCAAGAATACGAAGTCTTATTTTTTATATGGTATTCTGTAAGCCTTTCCTTATGGTAAGAACAGTTTTTCACCGAAGTGTGTTACTCAGAATGCTATGATGAGAGAAAAAATATGCAATGATGTATATATATCTAAACCATATCATGTCAACTTCCATAACAATAAGGATGGAACGATGTTTATTTCCAAACATAAAGACTCCTAACTTGACAAACTGAGCTGGCTACAAGGGGGTCTTCTTTCAGAGCGCCTCTGTGTCCAGCCTCAGTGCAGCCTGTAAATGTCATTTGTTTATCTATATCACTCAAACGTTGCACAGTCCACCTATATATCATCCCAACATCAAGTTATTGTATGAAGATGATATATATATTGTCAAAATTAATTTGTGGAAAATTCTGCCTTGCTTTCTGAATATTTAACATTTTAACTATCATTAAAGAAGGTATTTTAGAGAGGAACTTGATGAAAGCATGTCCACGATCGACGGCTGTTAGTATATATAAGATATAAATCGTCAAAATGTATTTATAGAATGATCTGCCACGGATTCTCAATCTTGAAAATTGTGAGCATGTCCACGATCGACGGCTGTGAGAACGTGCGATGTTAGATACAGCCTCGTCCTCCTCAATCTCCTATACTGATTTCCAGGTCTCTCGCTGCCTTCATGAGTGGAATGTTTTCATTAAGAAGGGGGCATGGAGATAAGTAAAAGACGAGATATCCTCTTCCTTATGAAACATTTAAGTTGGGCATTAAATTATTTAACAATAAATAAATATGCTTGAATAAATACGGTTCTGTGCATCAGTTTTTAATAGTCATCAAATGTTGTCCGGTGGTGGACGATCTCGCTAAGCCTAGAGTGCAATGTACATAATGTGAAATGTCGGCTTTTCTGTTGTGATGTTATAGGGTCTTACATATAAATTTCACATCGCAGCTCTGAGGTCTGAACGATGTCCAGGCCGCATGTGTGCCACTCAAATGCACCTTCAGAAAATACGCGCGGCACGAATTATGATACAACGGCTTTGTATCGTTAAAGGCGTGAAGTCTATTTTAAACAATGTTTCTCGCCAGGCGTCATCAATATAAACTATACACTCCTGTACATGGAAGAATTGAATCTTGGATACGTTACAAGCAGGGTAGATAAATGCATGTGAATGCATACGGTGTTCGCAAAGAAATGTAATAATTGATAAATGTGCGAGTCCCAATTGTCAGCATATCTGGGGAATTTTCATGTTTCACTATTCCACACAACGCAACACCCTTCTACCATTTGTATGGTGTTATCAAGGAGGCGCCTGGCTTGCTGCAAATTGTAATCTACACCAACGTACAGAGGTTTTCATACGTTCTTCGGGCACTACGGCGCATCGGGGGACTAATCCAATCACAGCAAAAGCAAGGACAAGACACTACACATTAGTTCAATAATCTCCCTTTGACTGCTAACATTTTGTTAGGCACGTTTTCCTCATTGGTGTACAGCTTTCAATACATTATCTCCCTTTAACTCTTCGCAACGGCCTTCCTGACTTATGTTCACACACACACACACACACACATACATGTACATTGGTGGTGTTTGTTGTTTAATGCCGCAATCAGCAGTATTCCAGCTATAAGACGGCGGTCTGTTCATAATTGTCTAGACAATGTGTGACTATTAGCGCAGCGTGTACAAACTGGTGTTTATGTTTATAGCTCAGGTCAACAATAATAACTTCACAGACTGGTTAGTTAATAATAAACATATATGTGTGGTTTACTGTTAAGACATAATCAGATATTACGAGTGCATAAAGCCCTACCCAACATAATATATACATTGCCTTAGGCTAGTAGATGTAGATTTTGTCGCTTCACACTGATTAAGAATAAGAATATAAGGAACTGTGAGACATTCTTTTAAACAATTCTTCCAAATAATGGTCATTTCATTTTCGACTGCTCTTTTTATCAATCATGCTTAAGTTTGCAAATACATAATGTGGTGAAACCATAGAAAATACTCATGAAAAAGTTCATATAACTGAAAGCAATCATTTCTTTCTTTAATAAATCTTCTCACTTCTATGCAAGACTAATATAATATTTGCATGCCGTCCAGACATATGACTCCAATTTGAGGGTTTTAGAGTGGAAATAATTGTGAATGTTGTACTTTGTAAATGAACATGGCATTCTACGGGTTAATTCGCAATAAGAACACGTATTTTGTGAATAAATAATGAATTGCGCATGCGTGTTATAAGGTGTGGGTCTGATGCTCGTGTCACTACCCTTACAACAAGGAAGACGCCACAGGCAGAAGAGGTGGGTTACAGTGAGTTTGCTGATTTCTATATATTTGTATGTACATGTAGGCTTAATGTGTTATAAACATGTATATCAGATCCAATTAAACCTTTAGAAACGATGATTACAGCGTGTGTATTTTTGTGGTTTATTGAAAAGCGATAATTAGATACGCGTGCATTCAGCCCTACTCAATAAACGTTTTAAGCACCAATGTCTAGGACGTCCATGTTGTGGCTTCACTTTAGTTCAGAATCATTATATACGGAACCTCTAATCCGGGTTGATGCAATATTCTCATAAGTTACCTGACTAATGTCTACCAATAGTGGCTAAAGGTAATTAAAAAAACCAAAGGCTGGCGTTTAGTTGAGCCGGCGACATTTTAAACTGACCGCCGACTTGTCAAGGGGATTACCGTTATTGGTCAGCGTGTCAATCTTGAATTGACACGCAACCGGTGACTGTAATCCGAACGGACATCTATTGTCTAAATTATTTTTGTTTTTACAACCTAAGTGAGTTACTGTACTTTATGTGAGATGCCAGCCTTTGTTTTTATATTACCGTTATCCACTATTGGTAGGCATTAGTTAGGTTACCTATGGTACTATTGTATCAACCCGGAACAACACATGAAATAACAAAGGAACTAATGGTGACAATAAATTAAAATCATGTTTTCAAAACTTAACCAATCAGAGTTTGCTATGCGTCCCTTCACTATTTAAGTAGGTGCAGTTTGACCACCAAGTCTCCATAAAAGGCAAACCTATCAAATTCGAAAAATCTGCAATATTTCTTGGAGTTATCCTTGATCAACACCTCACTTGGCGCAAGCATATCGAATATGTGGAAAACAGATGTCAAAAAGACCTGAACGTATTACGGGCAATTTCAGGCACATCTTGGGGCACATCGAGGGACACTCAGCTGGACCTCTACAAAGCTCTTATCAGATCAAAAATTGACTATGGTTGTGAGGCTTTTCACTCAGCATCAAATACTGTCTTGAGGCGACTAGACAGAATACAATACAAAGCCCTAATACTGGCCACAGGCGCAGCGACAGGCACCTCACTAGAAGCACTACAAGTAGAAACGGGAGAACTCCCATTGAAACTAAGACGAGAGCAGGCAATATTATCGTTCTGGGGACGAACATCAAACCCTTTGGTTAAAAAGATATGGCAAGACAAAAACGCTCGAGATGAGGCCCTAGCTCGAAAAAATCCCTCACTAAAGCCATCTGGGATATTAGTACGTGAACTCATTCGAAGTCACAATTGCGATGACATTCAGCCTCCAGAAAGTCACTACAAAGGGTTACACCCTCCCTGGACTTTACAAACTCCCAAAGTTGACACTGCTTTAACATCAGAAGTCACTAAAAGAGAAAACCCAACCCTACTACGTTCAGTAGCTATCACTAAAATTCAAACTACCTGGGACAGCTGGGCCCATATATACACTGATGGATCCAAGAATCCTATCAACAACAGTGCTGGTTACGGGATCCATATCCACAGCTCCAAACCCCAAGCACATTCAGTTCGCTTGCCCGATGGTCAGTCAGTATTCACGGCTGAATTGGAGGCAATTCATCATGCACTCAAACTCATACCGGAACTCCCGGAAGCAAAGGCAGTCGTCCTATCAGACTCGCTAAGTGCACTTCAGGCCATCAGTGGAAGAAACTCAAACTCCAGGCCAAACACAGTCAACAATATTCTATACGAATATACAAAACTATCGGACCAAGGGCAACAGGTGGAGCTGTGTTGGATCCCCTCTCACATAGATATTCATGGAAATGAAAAAGCAGACTCACTGGCGAAGCTAGCTCTAGACAAAGCGGATATACAGCCTATTCCCTTTAGTAAACTAGAGATAAAAAGCAAAATCAAAGCCTCCATAGCAAAAAGATGGCAAACCCAATGGGACGCAAGTAAGATCGGCAGATGGCTATACAAAATTCAACCCAAGGTCCAACAAAAGCCAAACTCATACTCAAATGAAAGGAAAATTGAAACTGCTATCTCACGCCTCAGACTTGGTCACAAAAAGCACTATGACAAGGTTTGTTCATCTTGCAATCAGGCTGAAACCATTGACCACCTGTTACTAGAATGTCAAGACCATGCCCCGGCCCGGGCTAGGTTAAAACAAGAATTGCAGTTAGATCCGCTATCTGTCATAGATCTCCTAAAGCCAAGAGATGCAATAGCGAAGGCCAAACTAACTCTATTTCTGAGAGATGGACAGCTGCTCGAACGTATATAAACAGAGCAGCCAAGGATAAAAATGAAATCATATCAATATAAGAAAATAGAAATCATATCAATGCAAAAACAGAAATTATGTGAACACCGAACTCACAATAGATATGTGAACCCTTCTCACACACAGGAGTCCCAAAGAGGGACAGGTCAGCCGAAATTGCCTAGGCAGAAGGCGACCTCTTAAACACCTAATGCAACAACAACAACACCACCAAGTCACACTGCCCCTGAAAGAAATCCTGGGACGTTAGAAACTCTGATGTCATCATTTGTTCTCAATTCTTCCATTCTATTTTAAGGTAAGACATTTACATGCGTTGTTTCAATGGTTGTTTTCATGCATGAAATGAACATGGAAGAGCTAACAAGACTAGCTCAAATAGTAGGCAAAAATGGAATAATCCTTGGTGACTTTAATGCCCACAGCCCTCTTTGGGAAGACAGGAATGATTCATGCAAATACGGCAAACTGGTAGACAAATGGGTTGAGGACGACAATCTCATAACTCTGAACGACGGCAGTCACACACGTTATGACCAAGTCCACAACACGTGGAGTTCCAATTGATCTCACAATTGCCACCAAAAACCTCGCCTCACATTGCCAATGGCAAGTCCATGATGACACTTGGGGAAGCGATCACCTTCCTATACTCACCTACATAGGTAGCCCACCACATTTAGAGGAACAGCCCAATCCTCAGCCCACATGGGACTATGCAAAGGCTGATTGGCCTAAATTCAGGGAGGAATGTATATCATTCAAGTCCTCAGAAATTGCCTCGGATGATCCTGATCTTTTTTGCCAAAATCTCACCTTAGCAATTATTGCCGCAGCTGAAAAATCAATTCCAAAAGAAGACCACAAAACTTGGCAAAACGCCGGTACCATGGTGGAACAGGGAAATAGCAAAAGCTAGGAGAGTGAGAAAGAAAGCCCTAAATAGGTCAAAAAGGGTTAAATCAGCCTTCACCCAAGTCCGAGCAGCCAGAACAAAAGTAAGACAACTCATAGACGATTCTAAAAAAGAGTCATGGCAGACCTTCTGCAAATCCCTTTATGAGAAAACAAATGCTAAAACAGTCTGGAGCAAAATACACGCAATCAGGGGTAAGCGTAAACCCACAAAAATTCCCAAGTTAGCCAACGCCCATACAGTCAAAGAAAAGGCCAACATTCTAACTGAGCACTTCTTATCTGTCAGCAGCAACACAAATTGCAGCGAAGAATTCAAACAGGAAAAAATGCTTATGCCTAAGATCTCAAAACGGCCGCAAAGCAAGCATCTGGTATACAATATACCATTTACTGTGACAGAGTTTGATGATGCCATGGAATGATGCCATGGAGTGAACCATTCACAATATATATATATATATATATATATATATAAATATATATTATATAAAATACAAAAAATATATCAACATGGCGAGTGACATGGTCAACGGTTCTTTCTAATTATCTTACACGGACATAAATATATTTGGACACATTTTTATATCTTTTAGTCTTTTAGGTGAAACAGCTCTACAGAGTTTAAAAATATTTGGCCACAAGTAGTATTGGAATACATGTATACAGAATTCTTTGTTTGAGTAGAGCTTCGCATCTGAAAAGATAGTGAAACTCATCTCCTACTGAAAGTGAATCACAGAGGTGACAAAGTCTTTCTTCTCTTGGTATATTCTGCCATCGGTCAAAGGCAGTAAGGTTGGTTGGTTGATTGTTTAACGCCGCACTCAGCAATATTCAAGCTATATGACGGCGGACTGTAAAATAATCGAGTCTGGACCAGACAATCCAGTGATTGACAACATGAGCATCGATCCTCGCAATTGGGATCGATGACTTGTATGAACCAAGTCAGCGAGCCTGACCCCCCCGATCCAGTTAGTCGCTTTTACGACAAGCATAGTTGCCTTTTACGACAAGTATGGGTTGCTGAAGACCTATTCTACCCCGGAATCTTCACGGGTCAAAAGGCAGTTAGGAGACAATCGAGTGGTAGGAGACAATGGAGTGGTAGATTTACATTTCTAGCTCTTTTTAATATGCAGTGCATCTCTTTCGTCGCACTTCCAATCACTGCTTTTATTCCCATAACAAATCTTCTGTTTCTGTTGAATTTTATTCCTAGGTATGTATAAGTGTCTTCTGTTTCCAGTGACCGTCTATTTAAAAGAAACCTTTTTTTAAGGATTTAGCCGGTCCTCCTCCAAAAATTAAAACCATGGTTTTTGATATACTAACGTTTAGTTTCCACCTAATACAGTAGGTTTGAAACACATCTAATGAATGTTGTAGACCTTGGAGTGTTTCGCTAAAAAGTACAGTGTCGTCTGCATATAGGGGTACAGGATATGCTAAGTCTTGTAAACAATTTACCGAAGCAACTAAGCAATGTTATCGGTCTATTCGAATTCGGGTCAGATAGATCACCTTTCTGTTTGTAAATTGGTTTTATTATTATCCCCCGCCCCAACGAAGTTGGCGGGGGATATAGAAGAAAAATATATTTTTTACAGTGCCACCTGATGTTTAAAGACAATAAAAACATAACACGTATACATACGTATGATATATAAAAACATCAGCCGACCCATGAAGGATCTGTGAGGCACTTCAAATCATTATTAAATTATCAATAATATAAATTGGTAAGAATAATACACCAACATAATCGAAAGTACACACACACACACATTTCATTTTCAATCACACATGGGAGTTCACCACATCAAC